AGTGACCTTGAAGGTATTATGACCTTCTCGTAGGCAAAACCAGTCATTCAGCAAGTATTTCCTAACTGAGGGCTGGGGGTCAGAGCCTGAAAGGGTGAGGGAGGGGTGCACGTTGAATAAAAAACAGGTACTAGGAGCTGGGCTGGGCTCCTCGAGAGTCGCCCATTTAATCCTCAAGACAGCCTTTTTTTTTTTTCTTTTTTTTTTGAGATGGAGTTTTGCTCTCGTTGCCCAGGCTGGAGTGCAATGGTGAGATCTTGGCTCACCGCAACCTCCACCTCCCAGGTTCAAGCAATTCTCCTGCCTCCACCTCCGGAATAGCTGGGATTACAGGCATGTCCAGCTAATTTTGTATTTTTAGTAGAGACAGGGTTTCTCCATGTTGGTCAGGCTGGTCTCGAACTCCTAACATCAGGTGATCCCCCCCCCACCACCTTGGCCTCCCAAAGTGCTGGGATTATAGGTGTGAGCCGCTGTGCCCAGCCAAGACAGGTGTCCCAACACTGGGAAGAGGCTAGCCAGGAGCCACCCTCGGACAATTCTCTTCCAGGCACCACACCAGGATTGCAGACAGGGACACCAAGACACACCCGGGAGGAAGGATGACTCTGATGGTCCCGCATGGCTGAGGCACAGCAGCCTGGGATGAGCTGGCAGGCTGCAGCCGCCTAGTGAAGAGCCTTGAATGCCTGATACTTAGTTGGTGCTTAATAAGGGTTGGTAATGGTGATGTATGAATACAATTGACCCTCAAGCCTGGGCACAGTGGCTCAAGCCTGTCATGTTAGTACTTTGCGAGGCTGAGGCGGGCAAATCACCTGAGGTCAGGAGTTCGAGACCAGCCTGGCCAACGTCGTAAAACCCCATCTACTAAAAGTACAAAAAAATTAGCTGGGTATTCTGGCAGTCACCTGTAATTCAGCTACTCAGGAGGCTGAGGCAAGAGAATTGCTTGAACCTGGGAGTCGGAGGTTGCAGTGAGCCAAGATCATGCCATTGCAATCCAGCCTGGGTGACAGAGCGGGAATCCATCTCAAAAAAAAAATACAGTTGACGCTTGAATAACATGGGTTTGGACTTCAAGGGTCCACTTCTGTTGTTGTTTTTTTTTATTTTTATTTTTGAGATGGAGTCTTGCTCTTGTCGCCCAGGGTGCAGTGCAATGGCATAATCTCGGCTCACTGAAACCTCTGCCTCCTGGGTTCAAGCAATTCTTCTGCCTCAGCCTCCTGAGTAGATGAAAGGACAGGCATGTGCCACTATGCCCAGCTAATTTTGTATTTTTTAAGTGGAAATGGGGTTTCACCATGTTGGTCAGGCTGGTCTCGAACTCCTGACCTCAGGTGATCCACCAATGACCCACTTCTATGCAGATTTTTTTCGCCTCTGCCACTCCTGAGACTGTAAGACCTCCCCATTCCTTTTCTTCCTCCTCAACCTACTCAACGTGAAGACGATGAGGATGAAGACCTTTATGATGAGTCACTTCCACTTAATGAAGATCAACTATACTTTCTATTTCTTAAGGTTTTATTTTTTCTCCTTTTCTTTTTAGAGACAGAGTCTCACCCTGTTGCCCAGGCTGGAGTGCAGTGGTACAATCATAGCTCACTACAGCTCGAGGATAGGGAGGGCTACAGTAATTTCCTGCCTCCTGTGAGGTTTGCACCAGACCTCTCTCCTATCGGTGGCCTGGCCTGGGCTCCTGAGACTGCTCCTGAAAGGGAAGGAGGACAGGCGCAGTGGTTCTCGCCTATAATCCCAGCACTTTGGGAGGCTAAGATGGGTAGATCACCTGAGGTCAGGAGTTTGAGACCGGCCCAGCCAATATGGCAAAACCCTGTCTCTACTAAAAATACAGAAATTAGCTGGATGTGGTGGTGGGAGCCTGTAATCTCAGCTACATGAGAAGCTGAGGCAGGAGAATCACTTGAACCCAAGAGGCAGAGGTTGCAGCGAGCCCCAAGATTGCGCCACTGCACATTCCAGCCTGAGCAACAGAATGAGACTCTGCTTCAGAAAAAAAAGAAAAGGGAAGGGGACTTTGGGCTCCTGGGAACTGGCCAGGAGACAGGGCAGGGGGACCGCCAGAAGCTCCAGCAAGTAGCTGCGTTCTCACCTGGAGGAGGGTGGGCTGCCAGCTGCATGGGACTGAGCCCTCTGGGCAGGGGATAGAGGTGGAGCAGCAGAGCCCTCACCAGCAAGGCCATCAGTGAAGATCCAGGCTCTCTAGAGAGCACTTTGCGGCGAGCCCACAAGGTGGTGGCCAGCCACCCACCCCTCCACACCCCTTGGCCATCCCCAGGTGAGCTAAGTCCCTGGCTCCATCACACCTTTTAAGGCAAAGGCAGCTCCCGCCACCACCTCCCTGTTCCCACTTGCTCAGAAATTCCCAGAAGTTATTTTTCCTTTTTTTCAGGAGGAATAGAATGGGACTCCTTGTTCTGTCACCGTAGGCTTCCGGCAAGGCCTGTCTAGGGGTTCTGGTGAAAGAAAAGTGACAGGAAGCGCATGCCAGCAGGCACTTGGAGATGCACCCTCAGTGACATGCACAGGCACGACGGCCACCCCACCCACCACAGGCCTCTCCTGGGGACAGCCAGGCACTCACACAGCACAGACAAGGCCTAGGGACATGGGGACCCCCAACAAACACACTCCATGCTGGAGACAGGAGATCCAGGTGAGAATGAGGCAGGCACAGGCACAACCCATAGCATAAAGCCCCTCCCCCCAGCTCATACCTGAGCCCAGGAGCCTCAGGGATTTCGCACTGTTCCCTGCCGCGAGTGTTCCAGCACAGGGCTCTGTGGGTAGGACCCTTGACACCCTTCACATAGCAGAGAGGCCTCCCCTACCCCACCCACATGACTCCATCCCAGTGACCTGTTTTATTTCCTCAGAGCCATCATCAGCTCTAAACTGCCTTGCTTTTTTCTTGAGATAAGATCTCGCTACATCACCCAGGCTGGAGGGCAGTGGCGCAATCATGGCTCACTGCAGCCTTGACCTCCTGGGCTCAAGAGATCCTCCCGTATCAGCCTCCCAAAGTGCTGGGATTACAGGCTTGAGCCACCACACATGGCAGGCAAGAAAGAGGGGCTATGGGGCTGTCAACAGCAAAGGCTCAGCCCCAAGTCAAACCAGGCTGCCCATAAGAAAGGCTTTCTGTGCACTTGGGCACGTGAACAGGTATGGGTGTGATGCGAGCCTCCACCTGTGACGTGCAGGTGTGTCCTGAGCTTGGAAGCAGACAGACTACCCCTAGGGGCCTTTGTTCTTTGCATCGTGTCATCCCAACCATACCCACAACCGGGTACAGAGCCCTGGACAGGCAGCAAGGCCCGGCCGGGATATGTCAGACCAGCAAAGCCTTTCCTACTTGGGCTGGGTGGGTAGCGGGGCTCTAAGTCCAGCCTAAGGGATAGGGAAGGGAGAGGACAGGCTGGGACCCCTGCCCACTCAGCATTCCCATCAGGACCAGATCATACCAGGGAGACAAGAGGCAGCATCCAGGAGACCAGACAACCAGATCTCAAACCCGGACCTTGGGACACTAGGTTGTAAGCCACTCCCGTGACTGCAGGGCATCCTGGGACCCTGCTCAATTCGCAACCCCTGGCAGGGCCCTCTTGCAGGGCAGGTGCCACACACCCCCTGGTGGCTCTAACCTGAAGTGCAGCTCGACACCCAGGCCCAGGCTGCAGTCAAGGATGGGAGGGGCTGCAGAAAGGAGGGTTCCGCCTTGAGGCCAACTCCAAGCTAAGCTCAGAAGGGGCTGGAGACATGCAGGATGGACAGACACATGGGGGAGGTTCCTGTTGCACACAACTGACCCGCCCCTGCCTCAGGACCCACAGGGTACTTACCCCCTCTGCACCTTGAGAACTTTTTGACACTGTAGTGCTTCACCACACACCCTCACATCCACAGGTAAACAGCAACTATCTCCCGAAGTCCGGGTACCACACCCCCTTCTCCCCAGCCCACAGGCACACCCAGCTACTGGAAAGCCATCCATATAAGCATTTAGGCACGCATGACACGGGCCTGCCGGACACTGCTGGATGGTCAGCTGCTGCAGCTGCGGGCTCTTACCAACAAGCAGCTTAGTGGGGCTGGAGAACAGCACAGCGCCCTGCACACAGCCACAGCAGCTGAGGCCGAGGGATCAGCTTTGATGGCATCGCAAGGGCACTCGTATTCCACACCCTATCCTGGTAGAGCCTAGATGCAGCAAACACGGGGTGAGCCAAGTGGGTCCAAGAGCCGGGGCCTGTGCTGGGCTTCACTGAGCTCACCAGGCTTCAGGCCAGCTCACAGGGGCCAGCCCAGGGCCTGGAGGCTTCCTTCAGCTTCACATCCTGGGCTTGAGACTGAGGGCGCAGGCACTCAACATGGGGTGGGGTACAGGGGCCATCTCCAGTCGTAACAAGGACTGCACCAGCCAAGTTCCAGAAAGCAGACCCCAGCCCAGAAGGGACACAGCCCTGACAGGTTCCAACTAGGCTTCCAGCTGGCTGAGCCTGGGCAAGTTACTTCACCTCTGTGTGCCTGTGCTTATGTTCTCCCAGTACCAGACTTTGGGTGCACAGATTACAAAAGAACCTGAACAAGCCTTAACTGGAAGCCACCCTTCCCTGGATTAATTTAAAAGCAAATTAGCTTTTCAGACAAGGAACAGACGCAGGGTCTGCGTGCACATCAGCAAAGGCGCCGGAGAACACCTAGTACTCCTTGTCTCCTTCCCCTCTCCATAGGACTGGCATCACTGGAGCTGTGCAAATAGCAGAGACCCAACTGCCTCGCCCAGGTGACAAACATTTGCACAATGGCTGCTGTTCGAGGCTGGCTTTCTACAGCTCAGCGGCAGAACTAGGCCGCTTTTACCTCCCTCCAGGGACTGAGGGTGGGGACAGAGTGGGATGTCATAGGGTAACCAGTGTAGCTACAGAAAGGAGGGCAGTGGCCTTGGGGAGCACAAGGCACCTTGGAGGGCCCCATCTGCCTCCCCAGTCCCAGCTGCTCTCCTGGAGAAACAAGCAGATGTCAGTGGAAAGTAACTTTTATTGAGACCCCACCAGCTGCAAAATGTGTTCCTGGCATTAAGCTCCTTCTTCCTTTGCAATTGGGTCTTTCTTGAGTGGTCCCTGTTGGGGGGAGGGGCAGTGGTTAGAGGTAGAAGGTTCAGGCCAGCAGATGCCCACTCTACAGGGGACCCAGACTCTGGGCCAGGCTCCATAGTCCCGAGAGGTCCAAGGCATAAAGACCACCCTCCACCCCACCAGGGGCCAAAAGCAGGCAGATGACCAAGCCACCCATCCAGTGAGGGAAGCAGGCAGGAGGTGCTCACCATGAACGCTTTCTTCTCCTCCATGGTCTGGAAGCGGCCATGGCCAAACTTAGAGGTGCTGTCAATGAACTTAAGGTCAATTTTCTCCAGAGCCCGCCGCTTGGTCTGCACCAGCAAGGACTGTGGGCCAAGAAGGGAAGTGGTTTAGGATTACAAGGAGCCAGGCTTTCCTTAGCCCTTGGTTAACAGTACCCCTGCATCTGGGAAGCCACAGGATCACTTCAGCCTCCAAGAGCCCTCCCCCACTGCCAGGCCAATGAGAACACACTCAAAAGAAGCAAACAGCCCAGCAAGTCCGGACTAGGAATTTCCTCATCCCAGGACTTCAAAGGTAGTGTGAAAGGACTGCCAACACCCTCTCCTTCCTTTCAACACTCCCGCCACAGGGCCACCAGCATCTGTGGCCTTGTATCCTCCTCCCTCCACTGGAGGCCCCCTACAACCAGGCAGGGCCCGCCTCACCTTGCGGAGGGTGAGCACTCGCTTCTTGGTTCCCACCACACAGCCTTTCAGCATGACAGAGTCATTGGTCACTTCACCATAGTGGACAAAGCCACCCTGGAAAACAAGACCACTGGATCAGCACAGGGCCCGCACTAGGCACAAGAGGGGATTGTGCAAGGATGACCCCTCCGGGTTCAGACCCTCCTGACCACAGGGCTGTTCTCAGAAGCAAGGCAACAAGAATGGGTCCGCAGTCTGTCTCAGGCGCTGTGCCCAGCGCACATTCCAGGCCTCATCACTGAGCAGCTGAGCCCGAGACTCCACTGCTCACCAGCCAACCCCAACTGGTGGACTCAGCGACACATTGCTATTTGCACGGTACACAGCTAGGTGCTGTGCCAGCTTCCGTTAACCTGCTAACAGGCCCTTGGAAGCAGAACACCCGTTACTTACCAGAGGGTTGATGCTGTTGTCAGAAGGTCATAGTCGGTGGAGGCATTGTTCTTGATCAGCTTGCCGTCCTTGATAAGGTAGCCCTGGCCGATCTTATAGATCTGAATGAACAAGAAGGGTGTCAGGCTGGGGGCATTAGGGACAAATAACCCAGACATGCCAGTGGGGCAACATGCAAAACACTCTATAGGAAGGCAGCTGAGGCCTCAGTCCCAGCCTTGGGGTATTCCAATTTCAGAGCAAAAAGGTGGCCGGCCCTCCAGGTTCCCTTCTGTCACGTGGCTAGGCTAAAACTAAAGGTCCTGCTGTACAACGCAGGAGGCCTCTTTCCCCCTGGTGGTGGGACCAGACACCAGTACGTCTAGTATCTCCAGCCACACCAACCATCAGCCCACCACAGCCGCTTTACAGGATGGCACCTTACAAATCACTCGAGCCAGAACTGACCCGAGACACAGCCACTGACCTCTACATGATGCTCATGAGTCAATGAAGCAGTGCTGACACAGAAACCCCAATCGCGGGGTCATCTCCCACCCCAGGGAGCCACTCTCAGAACCTCACCTTCTTGTTGATCTCAGTGCGGTGATGGTAGCCTTTCTGCCCAGCACGTGCCACAGAGAAGGCCACACGGGCAGGATGCCATGCCCCAATACAGGCCACCTTGCGCAGGCCTCGGTGGGTCTTGCGGGGCGGCTTCTTGGTGTGCCAACGACTGGTGACCCCTGGAATGGATGCATATTACTGCACCTCAGCACCCAGCACCTCCCACTGACCTCTTCCCTGCTGGCTCAACAATCACCAACCATGGCTGGGTCATCTGAAGGATAGCGATGGGATTATTTTGTGTGCATTACCCGCAGGTCTCCCCTGTCAAGCTGGATAGGCTCTGGGGTATAACTGAACTGGGTTTGTGAATGGGTGTTTTCAAGGCATCTGTTAAAGTTCCCATCAGCAGGGAGTGACATAACGCCAAGTTCCCCTTTGCAGTTATCAGTCAGCTACGAAGAGCAAAGGGTGCAGGGACATGGTAAGGTGTCTGCCGGCCCTCCGCTATCCCAGCCACTCCTGAACACAAGGCTGTTCTCAGAAGGAAGGCAGTAGAGAATGGTTCCACAGTGTCTGATTCGGGCGCTGTGCCCAGCGTGCACTCTGAGCCTCATCACCGAACAGCTGGGCCTGAAACCACGTCTCCCCCAGGTTAGGACACAACACAAGCCACTGAAAAGCTCACCTCTGTAGCCTTTGCCCTTGGTCACCCCGATCACGTCAATCATCTCGTCCTGCCCAAACACTTGGTTCACAGGTACCTGCTGCTCCAGCCTCTCGCGGGCCCAGTCCAGCTTCTCGGACACGGTGCCTCCATTCACCTGGATCTCCATCAGGTGGGCCTTTTTCTGGCGCAGAGGAAGCAGGCGCATCTAGGAGGAAGTGGGCACAGCTCAGCTCCAGCTGCCAGCGCTCCTCCCACAGTAGAGGACTGCAGCTCCACACGTCTGATGCCAAGCACATGGCAAAAAGAAGCCAACTCTCAACAAGTCACTCAACCTCACCAAGACGAAGGAACTTCCATTTCTGCCAACAGTAACAACTTCATTTTGGCTTCTGGTGCCTGAGTTGTCAGGATGAGCCAACGGGGCCCACACGACAGGCAAACAACCAGTTCCCGGCACCTGCCAGCCCCGTGCTCCTGTGGCTGTCCTTCTGGTCAGTTCCTTTGGCATATTGCAGTGGTTTTACCAAAGCCACTTACACTTGCCCTAGTGACAAGCCTGCTTTTTGAGAGCACAAGCTCTGGGTAAGAAAATGCATTTAAGCATAAAGCTTTTGCTTCAGGACAGCCTGGCAGCGTCCTGACAGAACTGCAGGTGGGCAGGCACTCTGTTATCTGTGATGGCCCTCACCACAGGGGGCTGGACTGAGCACTGGAAATTGGCCAGGATAACAGACAGCCAGAGGCACCTACTCTAACCGAGTCGATAAAGGGCCTGCTCAGCACACAAGCCAGGGTTCAAGGAGAGCAGCCAGCACCTTTCAGTCAGGCATTTCAGTGTACTGGGGAGTCACCAGTTGAGTCAAGCAGTTGAATTTTAAAGGGGGATGCCTCCCTTGCTAAGGACCAGTAAGGACACAGTGCCCTCTCCTGGCAAGGGAGAAGCCTACCCACAAGATCACATAGGTCAACTCCACACCGTGGCAGGCTTCTTGGCAGTATTTCTTCATGCTGCTGAAGTCCTTCTCCAGCTGCTTCTTGCCATCCTCATCCTGCCATTTCTTGCAGTACTTGGTGAAAGCCTTCTTAGATTTATGCCTTCAGGAGCAGAGCAGAGTTGGGGAGGGGGCCGGGTGCAGGCCTTCATCACCCCTGAGGGGTGAGCCCCCAGCTTTCCGTGGTTCTAAGGGTCCCCTCTGCAGAGGGACCAGGGAGCCCGCCCTGCATCCTCAGGCGCCGCGCTTGAGGGACCCCACAGCTCCGGCCAGGCCGCTTCCTTTGCGGATCGTGAAGCTGAGGTCCAGAGGAGGGCGGGGGCAGGTCCTGGAAGCTCCCCAGGCAAAGGGAGCCGAGCTCGAGGCTGGGGTCACAGGGCTCCACTCCTGTGATCTCTAGGGCCCTAGAGCCGGGAGGAGAGACTGTGGTGGGGGGGCTTTCGTCCACTGCTGGGGCTGGGCAGAGGCTCAGCCTGTGCCGCAACGCGAAGTTGCTTCTGCGCAGTCTGAGCCGCGGCCCCTTTAAGAAGGTGTGGTGCTTCAGCCAGTCGCTAGGGACGCTGCCGGCGTGCGCGCCTCTACGGAAGCCGAGACGGCGCTTTCCGCGGGGCCCGGGCAGAAGCCGCGGCGTGGTTGAAGCGAACGGAAGCTGCGGCGATGTGGTCGGAGCGAGCTAAAGCGGCGGCCAGAGTCTGGGGCTTAGTCCTAGTGGGCAGAAGCGCAGTCGACGTCGCACCGAGCAGAAGCGACCGCGCGGTCCCAGCCGGCAAAAGCGGAGGCCGCGTCCCAGCGAACAGAAGCGGCGGCGTCCAGAAGCGGCGAGCTTCGGAGAAGCAGTGGTGGCTTCCCTGTGATGGACGAGCAGGAGGGACGCTTCCGCGGTAAGTGGCGGGGCATGGACCTCCCCGGGAACCCTCCGGGCCCCCCTGCTCCTTCCCCACCGCTCGCTTTTGGGCCCTGACTCCTTGTGGGCATCTGGGCCCCAGTAGTCTGCGTGGCGGTGGTTGTGGGGTCCTGGCCGCCCCAGCGTGCGCACCCTGGCCGGGAACGGTGTGCGACCCGCGTCCAGCCTATAGGAGCACCTGGCCCAGAGGCCGCGGTGAAGCGCGGGACCTGGGAACCTCCGAGCCCCCGGCCCTCTGAGCTGAGGTCCAGGGTTATTTTGATGTTTCAGGACCTTAAGAGAGAGACCTCGCTAGAACCCAATAGAACAGGTGACATTTGTAGTGTGAATTCTTTGAGGAGTCTCCAGGTAGTTCGCTGTTTTCCGTAGTGTCTATTCTGATTTTCATTTACAGTGTATGAGTTCCCTTTTCTCCAAAACCATACCCGTGTTCCTTTTTTTTTTTTTTTTCCCTTTGGAGACAATCTCGTTCTGCCCCGGCCGGAGTGCAGTGGTGCCATCTGGCCTCACTGCAACCTGCGCTCCCAGGTTCAAGCAATTTTCCTGTCTCAGCCTCCTGAGTAGCTGGGACTACAGGGGCCCGCCACCACGCCAGGCTAATTTTTGTATCAGTAGTAAAGACGGGGTTTCTCCATATTGATCAGGCTGGTCTCCAACTCTTGACCTCAGGTGATCTGCTGCTTCGGACTCCCAAAAGTTCTGGGATGACTGGCGTAAGCCACCAAGCCTGGCCTCTCCTATTTTTTTTTTTTAAACCCTTTATGCATATATTCATTAGAAAATTATAGTCGCACATATATCATAGATATTCTGAGAGCTTAACATTCATAGACATTAAAAATTTGTGGGTGTTTATGGAATTTATGGATACAAGTTTGTTATGATATCACTTAATGCACTTTAAAAACACCCTACTTGTATACCCATTAAACAGTAATTTTCCATTTTACCATCTTCCTGGCTCCTGGCAACCACCATTCTATTTTTTCTCTATGGTTTTGACTCTCTAAGTATTTCATATAAGTAGAATTTGTTTATAGTATTTGTCTTTTTGTGACTGGCTTATTTCATTTAGCGTAATGTCCTCAAGGTTCTTGCATGTTGTAGTGTAGTAGCATATGTCAACATTTTCTTCTTTTGTAAGGCTGAATAATATTCAATTGTATGTATATACTATGTTGTGCTTATTCACTTATCCACTGATGGACTTGGATTGCTTCCTTGTTTTAGCAATTGTGAATAATGTTGCTATGGTTGTGGGTATACAGATAGGTCTCTTCATAACCCTACTTTCAGTTCTTTCAAGGATAGACTCAAAAGTGGAATTGTTGGATCATTTGGTGATTCTATTTTTAATTTCTTAAGGAGCTACCATACTGTTTTCCACAGTGTTGTACGATTTTACATTTCCAGCAACAGAACAAAGATCCCAATTTCTTCACCTCCCTGCCAACACTTGTGATTATCTGTTTTTTTGATAGTAGGCATTCTAATGGGTGTGAAGTATTATCTCATTGTAGGTTTGATTTGCATTTCCCTAAGGATTAATGTTGTTGAGCATGTTTTTATATGCTTATTTTATATCTTTTGGAGAATTTTGATTCTAGTTCTTTGCCCATTTTAAAATTAGGCATTTTGTTGTTACTGAGTTTTAGGAGTTTTCTATATATTCTGGATATCAGTCCTTTAACAGATAAATGATTTGCAAATATTTTCTCCCATTCTGTGGGCTGCCCTTTTACTCTGTTCATAGGGTCCTTTGATGCACACAATTTTAAAATTATCATTAAGTTTGATTTGTCTAATTTTTTCTTTTGTTGCCTGTGCCTATAGTGTCAAATTCCAAAAATCTTTGCCAAATCCAGGGTTGTAAAACTTTCACCCTGTGTTTTCTTCTAAAAGTTTTATAATTTGTGGTCTTGCATTAGGTCCTTGATCCATTTTGATTTAATGTCTGTACATAGCGTTCTTCATTCTTTCTTCAATGAATTTGTTCAGCTTTATTCTTTTGCATGTGGACATTCAGTTCTCCTAGCCCTGTTTGTTGAAAAGACTGTTTTTCCCTCATTAAATGGTGTTGACATCCTTGTCAAAACTCATTTGACCATTATCTGATGATTTACTTCTGAGCTCTCTATTCTAGTCTATTGGTCTTGATATCTGTCTTTATGCCAGTGCACACTGTTTTGAATACTGTAGCATAGTAGTAAGTTTTGAAATTAGGATATGTGAGTCCTCCAGCCTTGTTATTTTTTCAATTTTGTTTTGGGTATTTCAGAGACTATGGATGAGTTTTAGGATGGATTTTGCTATTTCTGCAAAGAATTTCATTGAGATTTTGATAGGGATTGCATTGACTCTGCACATTGCCTTCGGTGGTATTGACATCTTAACAATATTAAGTCTTCTAATCCATTAATGTGGGAGGTGTTTCCATTTCCTCATGTTTTTATTGTCTTTTAGTAATGTTTTGTAGTATCTGTTGTACAAATCTTTCACCTCGTTGGTTAAGTTAATGCCTAGGTATTTTATTCTTTTTTTTTTTTAATTTTTTATTGCATTTTAGGTTTGGGGGGTACATGTGCAGAACATGCAAGACAGTTGCATAGGTACACACATGGCAGTGTGTTTTGCTTCCTTTCTCCCCTTCACCCACATTTGGCATTTCTCCCCAGGCTATCCCTCCCCACCTCCCCCTCCCGCTGGCCCTCCCCTTTTCCCCCCAATAGACCCCGGTGTTTAGTACTCCCCTCCCTGTGTCCATGTGTTCTCATTTTTCATCACCCGCCTATGAGTGAGAATATGCGGTGTTTCATTTTCTGTTCTTGTGTCAGTTTGCTGAGAGTGATGTTCTCCAGATTCATCCATGTCCCTACAAATGACAGAAACTCATCATTTCTGATTGCTGCATAATATTCCATAGTGTATATGGAATCAACCCAAATGCCCATCGATGATAGACTGGATTGGGAAAATGTGGCCTCTCCTATTTTTAAATAACTTTCTAGGAATATTCAATAAGTGTGAGATTATCAGTGTGTGGGTTTCAATTAAACCACACACAGTTAATTAACTTTGTTGGATAGTTAATTTTGAGGACCTTTTATCTGTTGTTCGATTTTCTGTCGCGGAATTGTCTGTTCAGGTCCTTTGCGAAATATTAGATTCTTTTGCTACTTTGTAGTGTTTTTTTGTGTACACCTTAGATGACAACTCATGAATTACATGATTACCTGAAATTTTTGCCTAATCTATAGGATGCTTTTTTAATTTGGAAGGTAGTTTCTTTGCCGTGCAGAAACTTTTCAGGTTGATGTAGTCCATGTTTATTTTTGCGTTTTATGCATGTAATTAGGTCACCCATATAAGAAAATACTTATCAGTGACAAAGCATTTAATTGTCAAGGAGGTTTTTCTCCCAGGGTGTTTGTTTCTTTCTCTCTTTGCAAAGGTGAGCAGAGAGTCAAGTGACCCAGAATACATGCTCAACCTGTGTTTTAGTTAAAAACATTTTGTGCTTTATGGTCTTTTGTTCTGGTCTTTGGGGTTTTTTTTGGTTTGTTTTTTTGCTGGGAGGGGGTTTGATTTTCATATACCATGTAAAATCAGGGTCCTGTTTCTCTCTTCTGCATTCAGTTAACATTTTTCTCAAGGGTATTCATTGAGCAGACTCTGCCTGCCACACTGCGGTGGTCTTTATCAAAGTGAGTTGACTATGTTCATATTTGCGTTGATCTTGTTTTGGCCTCCCCATTTTCATCCACAATTCTAGGTATTGTTTTTATCCAGGTACCATATATGTGCTGCATGACTGCAGCTTGGCAGTGTGATTTAATATCGAGGATTGTGGGTCCTCACTTTGATTGTATTTCTCAGAATTCCTTTAGATATGAATTGCTTTTATGGTTCCCTGTGATTTTTAGTAATATGTATTTATTTCTGTTAACTTTTTTTTCACAACATAAAGGTGCATAATTAGGGGTACATTTTCACACGTATAGATTGGGTAATGAACAAATCAGGGTACTTAGGATCTCTGTTCCCTCATAAGGTATTATTTTTCTGTGGCGAGAACACATAAAATTCTCCTTTCTTGTTCTTTTGAAAAATATAATATCGTTAACTCCGGTCACCAGGCTGAGAAGGAGAACACTCAGTTTGATTCCTTTAAAGTTAAGATAACTTTGCTTCCATAACCAATCCTACTCCCCCTCTGTCTCCCAGACCCTGGTAACCAATATTGTGCTTTTTACCTCTTTAAGAGAGACATCTTAAGATTCAGTGTTTGTCTTTCTTGGCCCAGCTCATTATGTTTAACATAATGTTTTCCAGGTTCATCTGGGTTGCTCCACATGACACTGTTTCATCATTTCGGTGGCCGAAGAATATTTCGTAGTGTATGCACACGAGAGTTTCTTGATCCCGTTGTGGATGGACGGGTAGGTAGAATGTATACCCAGTAGTGGGAATGCTAGCTGGTATGCTGTTTTTCCTTTCTTCTTTGCAGGACCCCCAACTGTTTACAGCGTTAATACTAATTTACGTTTCCACAAACAGTTCCCCTTTGTGGAAATTCATACTAGAAGTTGTCTTTT